AAGGCAATCACTTCCCCTTACTACATGTAAGAATATATCCTTCTTAGAATCCCATGATTCTAAGTAACAATTGAAGATTTATAACATTGGAGTGTTTTACTCTCCCAACAGAGTAAATGCTAATCATTGGACCGCAATAATTTCTTTTTAGAGAATGTTTGCAGTGAATGTAGCCTGTAATCTCTTGTTCACTTGTTTTTCTTCTCTTTTCTTTTGACTCCTTATTTCATTCAATGCATTGTCTATTTGTAGTCATTCTCTAAATTTGTTTGTTAGACAGAGTCTTTCTGTTGAAGCTTGTGTCCGAGATAGGTGGGAGCATTAAATGTAACTTCTTGTTGAAAATTGTGTTTGAAGTAGTCTTCTCAATTTGATGTTGTTTGATGTTTTACAATTTTTTAATCTTTCTGTTGAGGCTTTTGATCTTTCTTTAATATCCTCAAAAGAGTATTAAAATATTTTTAAAATAATTTTGATGAGAAACTCTTCTTAAAACATTTTTAGAACTTTTTCAAATCTGATAAAATAATTTTTCAATATAAAACTCAGATAGAATAGGAATCAGAGAGACTTGGAACATATCTTTGTTACGTTGGAGTTAACCAAAGAACACACTACGTGAAAAGCTTAGACTGAGTTGAGTAGAATCGGAGTTATTTAGACTTGATCTTTATCTTGAATACATTCAAGTCTAATACTCGAAAATAAAAAGGAAAGCTTTGTATCGAACTCAAATAGGCACATAATCCAAAACGACTTTGAATATATTTTTTATACATTCGAGTTGGGTCATTAAAAAGGTTAATGATATAATCAAATAAATAATGAGGTCTTTTTGTTTTGGTTCATATTTTGAATTCATGTAAGTTGAATACTCAGTACTAGGGAAAACGTTTAAAAAATTTATGAACTAATTAAATGACTTTTGAAAAACGGTTAAAGATAATACTCCCTCCGGTCCTATATGTAAGTTTTAAATAATCGAATCGTGTTTAACGAATTGATAGTTAAAATTAGTTAAAAATAATAAATAGGTGAGAAATATATTTTTCCCTAAATTTGTCCTTATTTATTAAAAGAGTAAATGAAAGAGGCAATAAATGAAAAGAATGAAGAAAGAGAATATATAGTGTAATACTCCCTCCGTTCCTTATTATAAGAGACGAATAACCGAATTACGTTGTTCAAAAAAACAGTTAAAATTAGTTAAGAACAATCAATGTGTAAAAAGTATAATCTTTTTTCCAAAAATGCCCTCATTAATAAGGAGAGAGAGCAAGAGAGAGAACAATTAAATTATTAAAAGAAAGAGAAGTGGGAAGGAGAGAGAGTGTGAGTTGGAGACAATAAATATGGGTAAAACAGGAAATCAACACAAAAAAATAGAGACAACTTTTAAGTGTCTCTTATATATAGGAACATGCCATAAGCATCAAATGTCTCTTATAATAAGGAACGGAGGGAGTATTAATGAGAGAGAGATAATACTAAGTATAGTCAGCTAAGGGCAAAATAAAAAAAAAAAGTAATAAATGCTCAGTGAAATTCAAAAATAAAGTTTATATTTTGGATTAGATCTCTCTCCAAAAGTGAAGCTTTTATATATAGGACCCGAGGGAGTAACTTTTCTTAAAGCATTTCATTAATAGTTTTAATTAAGTTTCTTGCAAAACAAATTGTTCACTAATTTTATTATCATCAAAATATTGGTTCTACATAAGAAGTTTTCTTTTAGCAAAAGTCTTTTTGTGAGTTTGCACTCTTGATAAAATACTTTGGGAGAATTACAATGAGGTCCCAAAGAAAGAAAATAATTACAAAACAAGTCCTAAAAGTTATCATTTTATACTCTGAAACCTGTCATTATAGGCTGCTTAAGTTGTTATTAAGGTTTTTTAGTAATTATTTTTCTTCTTTGGAACCTTATTGTAATTTTCGTAAATATTCGTAGGTTGCAAGAATTTAATAACCTTTTGTGCTGCCTTTCTTACCTAAGGATTTAGAGATGAGTTCTTCAAGGGTTTTAGCTTATTAAATTTTTATTGTTGTCAAGTGTTTTTATTTCGTATTTCCTGGATTCCTGGGGAATTTGTATCACTTTTGGGTATGGCACTCCTTGAGCCAAGTGAGTAAGAGAGAGGACTTGTTAACCTATAGTGAATTTGTGGCCTTTCGTTCGACCACATCTCCTAAGTGGTTTAGGTCCTATCATGGAGTCATAACGAGGCCACGAGGATGGTGGGACTTAGCTCGTTTTCTATGTGGAAATATTTGCCAAATGCGCGTGTATGTATGTTTAATATATCACGCACTGCTTCACTAGTTTATAATCCTTTACTACATGTGTTATAAATTGATTATTAGGTATTAGGATTTTATGTACACTCCATGATTATTTAATATTTTTAGGCAAAAGTTTCTAGTACAGATGGTTGCGAAGGTCAGGTGCACGAGGAATAGACAACCATTTCCTCTATATGCCTCATTACTTTGATAAGGTTATTGTCTGAGAACTTGAATTATTCAATTGAATTATACTGCTACTAGGACAATGTTGTCAGTTAGCTAGAAGTCATAAGAGTTATTGCACATTACTTTTGTTGCATGTGGATCACATTATTAAGTATTTTTATTATGTTATGAATTTATTCCAAAAGTTATTGTGTGATGACCTACTGGTCGTGTTGGGATTTTGTAATAGGTTTTTGTGTCGTGGGTAATATACTCTTGAGTTCTATTTGTGCCCTAAGTCTCATTGTTCATCAGTGTCAGGTTTGGATAGACCCAATTTATATCGAAATTTTTTTATAACCGTAGCAACATGTTTGTTTAGTGTATCTATCTTTTGGTTAATTTCATAAAGGTATTTAAAGAATGAGTTTTGTAAATTGTAGAGGTGTTATCCCTATGGTTCACCCATCTAGGGCTGTAAGTCTTAGGATCCAAAAGGTTTTTGACCTTTCTACTCCTGATCCTGTTTGCTGGCTCTCACCTTGGAATGTATCTCTAGTTAAATCAATCTACTCTCTAGAAGTAGCTCATAACATACTAAAAACACATATTTCACTCTGCAATGGCAAGGATGAATGTAATACCTATCCTATAAGCTTCTCAACACCATATAAAACCAGTGTAAAGCTTAGGGTCTCACAATAATCAAGGTAGCACTTAAGGACTCAGCCTCGTAATCACAATATCGAATAACATGAGCAATAAAACTCATAATATAATTCAAACATAAATATCCAGGTCTACAATCTCAAAGTCTAAATTAACATAAGTAGCGGAGAGAATTTGAAATAAAGAGCTAAACTCCATCAATCAAGGAATTAAAAAAATGAATTAATGTCCTAGGGTCATGAAAAATAGTAAATAATCAAATTAACTCAATATGTACTTGAGAAATGTAAGAGCCACTAACTCACTCTTTTGGTACCTTCCCTTACTCCCAATGAGACCTGTCACCTAGAAAATTGTTACTGGGGTGAGCACTAGCATCTCAGTAGCCCAGAGTTCAACCACGCAAATACAAGCATAACCAAGCATCCACATCAGTTATGTAAACAAGTATTGCAACAATTTAAATAATCACTACTAGATGATATAGCTAATTTAATAATATATTGCATGTTTATATGCAATGGATGCTTCCTCTCTTATTGCTCCATATATCCAACCTTATTCTACTGATTAGAACCATAGGCTTATCCATGGTCTAGCCCATATATTGAACTGACTAAAGCTACTCCCATACTTAGAATATATCTTGCCAAATATACAGAACCCAAGCCTAGCTATAGTTTCCCTCCTTAAAAAACAAAACCAGGAGATGTCACTGTCTCACATTCCTCCCCTACAAACTTGGCCAGGTAAGAATTAAGGAACAGGGCTCTAAAAAGGCCAACCATTTTGTGCTAAGTGAAGACAAACCATGCGGTCACGGTGTATTACATATATCAATATCATAAACCCCCCAATCCAACCATCAATGCATGTCATGAGTATGCAAAAAATTCAAAACATTCAAGCATGCTTAAAAGAAATTAAATTACCCTATATTTTGTGATAATAATCATAACATAATCATACTCAAAAGAGAGCTCAAATAACACATAATATAATCCCATCCCTTTACCTTTTTAGTCTTATCAATTTATTTGCACTATTTAAGCAAATAAAGTTATATGTATATATATTGTCATAAATGTATGTATACTGCAACAAATAAGGCTTGTGCACACATAAAAAAACCCCGGGTTACCTTGGCTCCTCAAGATCACAAGTAGTTCAGCAACAAAATCCCAAACAATAAGGCTCTTAGTGAGAGTCTACAAAATCATACACATATAAAAAGAAATTAATATTTAGACCATACTACTCAAAGCATATCCTTAAACTATCCCAAAGTCTTAAAGTTTTCCTAAATATCCAAAATATGTTATATTCTTATATATTTTTATCATATTGTTATTCTGAATTATTATCCTCTTGTAATTTAATTACTTTAATACACAGTGGCCTACATGCAAATCTAAATTACAAGGATTTCTGGCTCTTGAAGTTTTAATCTATGAAACGATACCTACTATACACATGCATATATTGAATAACAGAGCTTTATTAAGATGAATTATCAACTATTGATGTTGACGCAAGTGCTGAAATGTAGTTGTATAACAAGGAAAAAAAATGTTAAACACTATTAGACTATTAGAATAAAAAAAGTCATTTGTAGATTTTTTTTTCAGAAATTTCAGATATTACTCTATAACTGAATTGTTAAGGCTTATACATACACACCCACGCATTAAAGTCAAGGGCACATAAAGGTAATAGTGTGTGATTCAAATGGTTGGAATGAAAGAAGGTTTCACATGTCTCCACGCGAAACAGGTACACGCACACACACCCCGCAGACAGACACAAATACTACCTTCGGTCATTAATATAAGACCATGTTTGACTTTTATTTTGGTCATAAATATAAGACCCTAATCTACTTTGTCTCTCACATTTATGTATTTTTTTCCAAGATAGTCCTTCTAATAATTGTAGTCCTAGACAATATAGTTGATTAGTAAAGATATTTTAGGAAAAACAATACCTATTTATTACAAATAACTTACTTAACTTCTTTCCTTAATCTCCTCAAATTAGTCAATTGGGTTTTATAATTAGGATCGAGGGTAGTATATAAATTGGTACTTGTACAACAAGAAATTAAAAGGCATTAATCTATATGTATATTAGTATTTGATGCGGTTAATGAAGGTGGCATTTGTGCCTCAACTTCTGTCAAGAAAAGATTGTATCTAAAGAGAATAAAAGACACAGGGGACGAGAAAATAAATTTTATGAAACAAAAAAAGATGAAGAGTTGAGGAGAGAGCGGACTAAAGAAGACATGAAAAGTAATAATAGAGAGGAGAGAAGGTACCTGGCGGCAGAGATTGCTAGTGAAGCTTGCTGGATGAGTGTAAAGGGTGGAACCTAGGTTTATGTTTCTTACATAATTTTTTTTGTTTTGAATTTCTAAACTTCAAATATAATTCTTGTCTGATTTTTATCACATTATCATCATCATGGTTTATGATTTATTTTCAATATCAACGCTATAAATATTATTATTAAGATAAGGTTAGGTATCCAGCAAATCTCAAAATATCTAATAGATTTTTTATTATTTTTTGCATTAGATTTATGTATACAACCAGATTTTTTATTTTATTTACTATTATTATTTTTATTTTTTTTATCATTCTTCATTATTATTTTAATTCATGAAAACTTCTTCAGCTTCTTAAATCTTTTTATTATAATAGTAGCACTAGTAATAATAATGACAACAACAACAATAATAAAATCCCACCCCTCACTGCGTGCCTTACTCTTTGGAATTAATTCAAATTCCTAAATCTTTTAGGTCACTATCAGGATACCACTGGCAGGTGTAGTACTACCTTCGGTCCTAATTATAAGAGCCAGTTGACTAATTTGAGGAGATTAAGAAAGTAAGTTGAGTTAGTTATTTGTCTTAAATAGGTGTTGTCTTTCCTAAAATACTCTTGCTAATCAAGTGTATTGACTAGAACTCTTATTATTAGAAGGACTACTTTGGAAAAAATGTATAAATATGAGAGACAAAGTGAATTGGGGTCTTATATTTAGGACCAAAATAAAAGTCAAACAAGGTCTTATATTAAGGACCGGAGGTAGTATTAAATAGGACTATGCTCTGTCTTCACAGAATGCTGCAACTAGAAGGGTTGCTGCATTGAAACTTTGGGATTTCATATGGAAAATTCAGTTACCTCATAAACAACTCCTTTTCATTTGGAAATTAGTACATTTTGATGTTCTTGTTGGAGAGATTTTGAGAAAACACCATTTAAATGTTTATACAAATTGCGTCTTTGGTTACTAGGCCTCTGAAATGTTAGACCATCTCTTCTACTCTTTTTCATATGTACAGGCTCTCTGGTTTGGTGTATTATCCCTTCGTTCTAAGATATTTCCGCCCAAGATTTCCCTGTATGGCTTTCTAGAACATTGCACCAACTTTTTTCTAATGGCAACATGGTTAGCTTAAGGGAATCATTATGCTAGTAAACCTTATTTGGGCTAAGAGAAATATGGCACTTCATAGAAGTCTCACCAGCTATCCGAAACAAGTCATTTAAGATTCTCGAGGCTCCTTGCACTGCCTTACAAAAGTTTGTAATGGGCAGAGCTTATCATGTAATTCTAATATTTCCAATCTAGCTCCTACTTCTGCTTTGCCTAACTGTGATATTCACAACATTCTAAACTCTACATAGGATTGGACAATCCTCATGAGCAAGGTTAGATTTCGAAGACATATCTCTTATGTTGCCATAATTTTTGTTGGTCAAGATGAAACTCAATCCTTTAGGCTGGTGGAACTACATTCCCTTATCCTTTTCTATTTTGCATTTCCCATTTCGTGTTTGAGACTAATATTGCGCTAGATTATTCAAGTAACTTCTACTTTCTCGACATCTTTAAATCACATCAATTCTTATAAGAAGAACTTGCTCAATGGTCTACTTGATCATTCTGATTCTAATGGCATCTTGGAAAAGAACATTAACATACTTCTTTAGTTTTTTCCTAGTTACCTTTTTTATACAACTGACGTTTTACTCATTCCCCTTTCCTCAATCCCTTTAATGTTGACTTTAGTTGTATAATTCTCCTTTTTATATAATTGATCCTTTTATTAGATAAAACTATGATAGTTCATTTGTTGCACTTTTTAACTTTTCCTTATTATGGCTAGCCTTTCTAAAGAAGTTTAAATTCTTGGTCCAAATTTTGTTAAGTTAAATAGACTAATATTTTAGATGAAAAGAAATTTGAAGAATCAAAACCTATTATTTAAAACTTAAGGAATCACAACCAATATGAAAGTAAACTAGAGGAATTAAAAATTATAGTAACTTTTCTCTTAATCATGATAGTGTTTTTAAAAGGTTAAGTTTCCATTTTTTTTTATTGTGATTAAGATTTTCAAATGTGTTTTTTCTTTTATTTCTTTTAGCTATACATGAGTAATTGAACTCTTATCTTTTATGGGTAACTTTTCCAAAACCGTAGTTTGTTTTTCTATAATGGTAGATTTTTTAAATAAATTTCCCTCGTCCGTGAAAAGAAAATTCTTCATTTTCTGCCATCATAGTTCTCTAAAGATTTATAAGAGTTAACTGTGCAGTTTTTAGTAGAGATTTTATATAATTCAGGGTAAATATAATTTTTAATCCATAAAATTTGGACATATTTTCATTTTGGCCCATCAAATTTCAAATATATGATTTTAGTCCTTAAAATCTAGTCTGTTTTAAAAAATTAGTCCTTAGAAGTGTAATGATGTTAAAATCTACTCAAACATTATAAACAGTATTAAAATGATGATATTGACTAACTGGATGACATATAATTAGAAAAAAAATGCCTTCAAAACACAATGTAAAGAAGGATTATATGGAGGGGAATGAGTTCTTAAAATGTAATGTAGTGAATAACTTCTCAAACAAATAATAATAGTTTGAAGACTTGTTCTTTTCCCCATTTGTCCACACAAGATCTAATTCGATGCCATTTGGTAAGTCTACATTATCACTGTTTTGAAGACTTGTTTTTTTCCCTCATTTATCTACACAATATCTAATTTGATGTTATTTGATGAGTCTACATTACTACTTTAATGCCATTTATGACAATTCAACTAACTTTAACATCTTTGTACTTTCCAGGACCAATATTTTAGATGGACTAAATTTTAGGGATTTACGAATTTAAAATTTGAGAAACCAAAATTAAAATAGGTCCAAATTTCAGAGGGTCAAAATTATATTAAACTATAATATATGATAAAATTAGTAAATATAATTTATATTCACATTTCTTTAAATTTTATTAAAATAAACACAATTATTTTTCTTAAATTATTTATTTAATATGACATCCTTAATTATTAACGTGAGATAAACTTAGATAATTTAAAGAAAATAATAATAAGGTGTAACTATTTTTTCTTGGCTTGTAATAAATATTTTGTTTCAAATAATTTTTATGTCGTATTGTAGATGATTTATTACTAATATAAAAATTATTAATTATTATTTATTATTTATTGCAAAAAATAGTTTATATTATTAAATTATTAATATCCTTTTTTCCCCTAAAAAATCAAGTATATATGCCAAGAAGATTTCGTCCCTATGCAAATGAACGCATGATTCCCCAATTTCTTTAATGATGTCTTGGTACATCGAGACCAAATTTTAAGGCGGGAAAATTCCAATGAAATCGGAGTTGAATTTATAAATGCCCAAATGAACGCTTAAACTTGCAAAATCTTAAATTAGTTATAATGAATAAATTGAAATTTTAAAATGTTGATCAATTTATAATTTTTCCTTTTGATTTTTTTTTTAAAAACCTCAAGTCATCCCATTGAGCACTGGCAGCTAGCCCCAAAGGTCAGGTAGCTGCCGATCATCAGAGCTTTGAATACTGGCAACTATTTATGGGGATTTTTTTTTTTAACTTTGATAATGTGATTAACACTTCTTGTAATGATATTCACAATTATCAACCACATGTTTTTTCAGTTTTTTAAACTGGAATTTTTTTAAATTTCATATTGCGATTAACAATTCTTGTAACGATATTTGCAACTTCAGTAACTATATTAACCACATATTTTTTAGGTTTTTAAACTCAGACTTTTTTAACATTCATAATGTTGCTAACAACTCTTATAACAACATTTACAATTCTATTAATGTCACAAACCACTTTAGATGATAGGTTTTTAAATCAATATTATTAGTTTAATACAGATTTTAATTTAATAAAATAAATGCATGTTAAGTACATAAGAGTTTGACATGATTACTATTCCCTGATATAAAGTAGTTAATGCTGTTAATATAGTTGTAAATATCATTATAAGAATTGTTAATAACGTTATGAATGTTAAAAAATCTCAGCTCAAGAACTTGAAAAACATGTAGTTAATATAGCTACTGAAATTGTGAATATCAATACAAGAGTTATTAATCATGTTATGACAGTTGAAAAAATTCCAGTTTAAAAAGCTAAAAAAAAAGAGTGGTTAATAGTATTAATGAAGTTGAAGTTGAAAAAAAAATTCCAATAAATAATTGTTGGTCGCCGGAGGTCATTGGCCAGCTGTCGAAGGTTCAGCTTGGTGAGGGGTGTTTGGATAGAAACCAAACCATGGTTTCAGAAGTGCTTTTACGGATTACGAAGTAAATATGTGGAGGAGATTACCTCATTTTGCGGAAAAGTGCTTCTGAAACTATGGTTTTGGGTTTCCCAAACACCCCCCAGAGGCCACCTCACCTTCAGTGTTGGCTGTCAGGTGACTAGAAGATTTTTTAAAAAAAATAAAATAAAGAGCAACATGATAATTGATCAAAATTTTAAAATTTTAATTCAGTCATTATGACTTTTTGGAATTTTACTAATTTAAGTTATTATTTGAAAATTCTGATATCAAAAAACCAAAAAAAGTGATGATTTGGAAATTTGCAAGGTCAAGAATTTTTCCTGTTTCAGCTCAAAAAAAAAAAAATATTTTTCCTGTCAACATGATGGCAAAAAAAAAAAAAAAGTAAATAAAAAAAGAAAAGGACGGAATTTTAACGCTACGCGGCCTTTCCTCTTACAAAAGGAACCCTCTCCGGCCGCCTTGATGTCACTCCCCGGACTGGCTGGCCTAATTTATGAATGATAGGGTCAGTTGCGGACCCTTCGGCCTTCCGCTCTTCTGTGTGCCTCTCCTCGGAAGTGTTCAAGGGAAAATCCCTTTCGAGCTCTATTTCCTTCGCTACAATTCCTTGCCCTAATTGACCTTATTCGACGCGACGATCTATCTTGTTCATACGCCGTAAGTCTTTCTCTTGATTTGTTTACATTTTTTCATGTAAGCGTTGGGGCGTATCTCCACCACACGATATTTGGATCTTCTGATTGAAAATTTATTGTTGTTTCTCTCTTTGCTTGGCTGAAGTTATTTCTTGATGTTACCACTTGCAAGTTGCAACTATCGTCACTGAGGATAAGTTGCCTAACCCTCAAAGGCACATTGCTTGTAATAAGACGATTTGCATTATTCTATTCTTGCAAAATGTAGGTATTAATTATATTTTCTAATGCGTTTTGCCCCTGTACGGTTACTAATTGAAGTTTCTATTTTGCCTGTGCTGGCGAAATTCCTCGTGATGCCATTAGGATATCATTATCTTTCTTTTATCTCAAGTGGTGCGATCATTGTCGTACATGCTGCAGTTTGTCGTGTTATTTCTATCGTGGAAATCTCGTTTATAATTAATTGAAATGTTAATGTCATTGAAGTATGTTTGCTGTGTTTTCAGTTTGGGAACATAAAGCTTCTGCTGCGTTTGGAAAGTTACAAGCATGTTTGGTTCAACAAACCGTAAGTGCCTATACAACTCAAGCTAAGAAATTGCTATAGGGCATTTATAAGGGCTAAACATAAAATTATCGTCTGAAAATTTATTCTGAGAAGTCACTCAATTCTGTGTTTTCATTATTTGTCTACGTTAACATTAGGCGATACACTATTTTTGTGCTGGTTATACAATTGCCGCCCTCAGCACTGAAATTCATCTTTGTTATTGCGTTTATGTTCAACTTGATTTTTCCGACATGTGCTTTTATTCCTTGAAGTGTTTAGTTTTTCACTGGTTTCTTCTGACCTTATGCCCGGGGTGACATGGGTCCTTCCCCCCTCCCTCCATATGTTAATGCTTTTGAGTACCAAAATTGAGCCAGTTCTGTTTGGTCTCATAATTAATCAGATTATTGCTATCTCTTATGGGATACATGGAATATTATTGCTTGAAGTGGTTATTTTTTGGATATGTTAGTTTTGTTATTTATTATTTATGTTTCTGTTTTGCAATTCCACATGGAGCATCTTGCTTCTTTGCTTGCTGTTTGCTTCTGCAACCCACTAATGTGGTGACATCATTTAACAGCTTTTGGGCAATCATCTTCGAGTCCATTTGGCTCCCAGTCAGTTTTTGGGCAAACCAATGCATCAAGTAGCAACCCTTTTGCCCCAAAGCCATTTGGTAGCACAACACCATTTGGCTCACAAACAAGTAGTTCCTTGTTTGGAGGTACTTCAACTGGTGTATTTGGTGCATCTCCATCTTCATCTCCCTTCTCTTCAACGAACACCTTTGGTGCTTCGTCTTCACCAGCCTTTGGCAGTTCAGTGCCTGCTTTTGGGTCATCTTCAACTTCAGCTTTTGGGAATTCATCATCATCATTTGCTGGTAAGCAAGTGTATGTGATTTATTCGTTATACGTTTTGTTATTAGAAGTCTATCTCTAGTGTTAATCGGATTGATTTATTTGCATCCTTGAAGAACCAGTTTGCTGCAGTTATATCTAATGGTGTGTAACACTTTTTTTGGTTAATGGCGTTCCATCTCTTTTAAAATAAGATAAAGACAGAGTGCACACATTCAAGTAAATATGCTTGTAAATGCATGACTGTGTTATGGGCCTCTAAGAGTTTGATTATAGCTTCTGACATCAATAAGAAAAAATAATGTCGCATCTTTTCCAGATTGGCTCCCTCTGGCATAAGTTTTCTTGATGTTGGTATTTGATCTCATTGGAATCATGAGTTAATAAAAGATGGTTGTAATGATTTTCATATGTTCCTGCTGTTTCTTGTCCTCTTTAGGGAATTGGATTACAAATCTAAGGATTACACTAAATTTATTACCATTCCTTTTGGTTATGGCTTTCTCAACTTCACTTCTTATAAGGACAAGCATCATTACCATTGTCATGTTTTCCCGTCTCTTTTGATGTTTTGATTTTGACTGAAGGTTCTAGACTCTGCTGATCTTTAGTTTGTACCACCCGACTTTTATGTTGTTTTATCAGGTTTAGTTAGGAAATTCAGACTTGTCAGTATAATCTTATCATCTTACAATTAATGCTGATGAAATTCTCTTGCTCTTTAGGGTCATCTGTCTTTGGCCAAAAACCTGCTTTTGGAAGCTTTGGGTCTACCACTCAAACGAGTCCTTTCGGAAGTGCTGGACAACCTTCACAACCAGCATTTGGGAGCAGCATATTTGGTTCTTCAACACCTTTCGGTGCATCATCCCAGCCAACATTTGGCCCTACAAGCACCCCCGCATTTGGCTCTGCAAGCACCCCTGCATTTGGCTCTACGAGTACCCCCACATTTGGCTCTACAAGTACCCCTGCATTTGGTTCAACCTCAAGTCCAACTTTTGGCAGCACAGGGAGTGCATTTGGTGTTAGCTCCTCTGGATTTGGAGCTGGTGGGGGATTTGGAGCACCAAGTACCCCATTTGGTTCTTCAACTACATCATTTGGAACTTCAAGCACTCCTGCATTTGGGGCGTCTAGTACTCCTGGTTTTGGTGCTTCTAGTACTCCTTCCTTTAGTTTTGGACCCACTCAAACTTTTGGTCAGTCTACTCCAGCATTTGGTAGCAGTCCATTTGGAAGCACTTCTTCACCTTTTGGAGGACAGAGTTCTCCATTTGGTGAGTTTCAAATCTGGAATTGTGAATAATTGAATACTGACACTTATGATATATATTTTTAAGTTAGAAGGGCTTTTTTCCCATATCATTTTTAATCCTATGTGTTGAAATTTTCATGCCTTTTTATGTCCTTTGCGTATTTTCTTATTCAGGATCTCAGAGTACTTCTTCAGCTTTTGGAAGTACTGGTATTGCGCAGTCTGGTTTTGGGGGTCAACGGAGTGGGAGTAGAGTCGTTAATTATGCACCAACAGCTGAAGCAGATGGCGGTACCTCTGGACAAACTGCTAAATTGGAATCCATATCAGCCATGCCTGTTTACAAAGATAAAAGCCATGAAGAGCTAAGATGGGAGGACTACCAAACTGGAGATAAAGGTGATTGCTATTGGTAGTTGTTAATTACTAGTTTATAATTGTTTGGTTTTGCTGGTTTTCATCGCACTAATGAACTTCATTATTCTATTATATTCAATACAAATTTAGGTGGGGCTGTCAGTTCTGCTCAATCCACTGGCTTGGCCGGCTTTAATTCAAGCACCCCCCAGGCAAACACGTTTGCTCCTTCTCCAGCTTTTGGTCAATCGGCTGCTAATCCTTTCTCTACCTCAACCCCTTCTAATCCATTTGCAGCAAAGAGTTCACCATTTAGTACTGGCTTTGGGGCTACATCTACTCCTGCCTTCAGTTCATCAGCCTTTGGTACGTCGACGTCAGCAGCAGCACCTTCTATATTTGGATCATCAACATCCACATTTGGAAATAACTCTCCATCACCTCTGTTTAGTTCTTCTGCTCTGGGCACATCCTCGCCATTTGGTTCAAGCATAAATTTTGGCAACACCCAGTCATCAAATCTATTCAGTTCTGCTGCACCTACAATTGCACAAACGGGTTCTGGTTTTGGACAGAGTACCTCCCTGTTTGGACAGAACACATCTGCTTTTAGTCAATCGAGTTTGTTCAATTCATCATCTTCTGGGCTTGGCGGAAACATTTTCCCAAGCAGTGCTCCAATCACTTCCAGCAATCTGCCGGGTTTTGGTCAAACACCAGTAAGTAGTTGTTAATTAAATAAATGTTTCTTAGTCTCACCTTATCTTTGGATTCTTAAATAGTGTACAAGTCAAGTTTGATTCTTCCTCTTGTCTACGAATCCCAGCCTAAGTATTTTTTAATTTTGATTTTGTTCATTTGAAGGATAAATTTAATTTTAGTACTTGTTTATTTTGTCTTTGTAATTGATTTATTCTAACCATATTTGCAGCCTTCAATATCAACACCTTTCCAAACTGGACAAGCAGCTCAAACCAGTGGTACTTTTGCATTCAGTAATTTTGGTCAGACGCAACCTGGTCAGTTTGATCTATTTGCTATTTTCATATACTTTTTGGGATTGCAATGATTGAATTGCTAGAAGTGATGCTTCATTTTATTCTGCTTCCTTGTGCAGCCGGTGGAACCCCAAGCTTATTTGGTCAGAGTAACTTTGGACCCTCGTAAGTTACAAATACTGTCTGTCAAAGATATGCACCAGATTTAAGTTGTGTTTCACACATCTTGCTTATTTTGCCTGCTGCTGAGGGGGTGGATGTCATAAAGTTCAACATCTTTGGCATTGAATTGAAAATTTCTACTGGCGTCCAATTAGTAGCAATGCATTGACTTTGATGGCAGTTCTATACTGATCTTTCATGTGATAATTTCTGTTAGGAGAAAAGACTGGATCTTCCGGTCATTTTATCCATTTGAAGTTTAATATTGTGCTTTTTGTTTATTAGGTCTTCTGCCCAGAGCCCTGCAGTTGTACAAGCAGCACCCATTTCAAATCCATTTGGAACACTTCCTGCTTTGCCTCATATGTCGATTGGTCGAGCTGGAACTACTCCATCTATTCAATATGGAATTTCAAGCATGCCTGTAAAACAATCTCTCTTGCATTTAGAATTTAGTTTATATTTTATGAGATTTTTAACTTACTTCAATCTATTTATAAACTATGATCAAAATTTCCGTGCTGCTTTACTCAGATCTGACTTTATTTTTTTCTCTCAGGTCACAGACAAACCTCCTCCTGTTAAAGTAGCATCCTTACTAACATCTCGGCACCTCTCACAAAGACGGATCAAGTTTCCTGTCAGGAAATATCATCCTAAAAATGATGGACCAAAGGTGAGTTTAGTAGTTTAATTTATGATTATCTTGGTTCTTTCATTATGGCTGCTAGTTGAGCTGTTTATGGTCTGTGCACGCACTGTCATGCAGGTTCCATTCTTTGGTGATGATGAGGATACTCCGACAACACCAAAGGCTGATGCTCTCTACATTCCCAGGGAAAATCCAAGGGCGCTGATCATACATCACGCAGAACAGTGGGCTACTAAAGCTTATCCTGAGAAAACTTCGTTTAGGGATAGATCCACTGCAGTGAATGAGAATGGTAATATTTTGGATTGATTGCAGTAATTTGTCATACTTGAGCTATATAGGGAGTAGTGCTAAACACGATGGGCATTTTTCTCCTCCATTATTCAGCGTGGTATATGTTCCCATATGATATTTCTTTCAATTTTCTTTTCCTTGAGAGATTGAAAATAAGATTCTTGCTTAATAGTTTATGGCTTGTCATTTGAAATGTTATGTGCAGGTATTAACACTAAAGAAGCAGGTACTGCACCTACTACTGATGGGAACAACACACAGGAAAAAGCAAGTATGTATTTCTAATGTTTTTTAGGCATATATCATAATGGAACTTTCTTGTTTATTGATTTTCAATGACACATTTGAGTTTTATTGACATCTTGGTTTTGGCTGGGTTGACTAATTCCTGATTCCAGCTGAAAATGGTTTTGTTGAAGAGCAAGTTGAGCCTTCTAGATCAGAGCAGACATCCAACGGGACTAAAGAAGATCACTCTCTTCCGAAAGGGAATACATATATGACACTCAGCGGTCACAGAGCCGGTGAGGCAGCTATTGTGTATGAACACGGAGCTGACATTGAGGCTCTGATGCCAAAGCTTCGTCAGTCAGATTACTACACGCTGCCTCGAATCCAGGAATTAGCGGCCAAGGAAAGAGCTGAGCCTGGGTTCTGCAGTCGTGTCAAGGACTTTGTGGTTGGAAGGCATGGATATGGCTGTATCAAGTTCTTTGGGGAGACAGATGTGCGACGGCTTGATCTTGATTCTCTTGTGGAATTCAACTATCGTGAAGTGGTTGTCTACAGGGACGAGACTAAGAAACCTCCTGTTGGTCAAGGGCTCAATAAGCCAGCTGAGGTAACACTACTCAACATAAAATGCTTGGACAAAAAAACCGGACGTGAATATACTGGAGGGCCAAAGGTCGAAAAGTACAAGGAAATGCTGAAGAAGAAGGCCGAGGACCAGGGCGCAGAGTTTCTATCATATGATGCTACCAAAGGAGAGTGGAAGATCAGGGTTAACCACTTCAGTAGCTACAAGCTGACAGACGAAGGGGACAGTTGGGACGAATGCTGACAAATGGGAGGCACTGTAGATCTATGATACGTGTAGTCTACGATGGGGCAGCATTACCTTGCATGTTGCCAACGCTGAATTTTGCTTTTTATTTACTTGTACATTTTGCTGGTTCATACTGTTTCAGTTTGGGCGAACATGTCTCTGTTTTTGCGTCATGCTACCTGCTATGGAAGGATGGATCTGTACTCCCCCCCCCCCCAAAAAAAAAAAACAATAAATTCTAGGTTTTGGATTGAATTCTGACTTGTGTACATTGTCGTAATAGAATCTTTGAACTCTTTTTTTGTGACCAGATCTTTGAACTTATTCGAGCTCACCTTTTTTTTTTTTTTTTTTTTGTGGGGGCTGTCAAAGGCAAGTGCAAAATGAAAACTAATAAGAGGTTGAAAATTAAAATAGCTAATCGCCTAATCGTGATGGGTATAACTTCCCCCCCTTGGGGCTTCAGATAGAAAGAAACTCGCCAGAAGAACGAGAGCATCTTGCTTAATGATATTAGGTAGAGTGCTGATCAAACAATTTAGTTTAGTAGATTGCTTCTTAGTCGATGTAATTATATCATCGATAATTGTGTCACTTGGAGCAACTGACTAGCATGCCCTTCAGGGTTCTAGGACTGATTGAAGTAACGTGATAATGCGGGTAAACTCATGATGGGTTCAACTCATGTGGTGTGGGCTAAAAGGCCTGCTTTTAAATGGGTTGTTTTTTTAGCCCATCTTAATCCACACCCACCACATTTATTTACTGTCTTTTTTAATTTGTTATATTTTTCCCTCATATAATATAAAAAATATATAATAAAATTCTTCTTTTTCCTAAAATAATTTATTGAAAACACCGAATAAATATTATGGGCATTTTCTTAATTTTTCAAATAAGATATGACATTTAATGATATACTTATAATAATTAATATAATTTAAAAAATGAAAAAATGGGGGCTGGCAGTGCTGGTCAAAATGCTTAGGCGGGTTGACTTTTAATCAGTTATAACTTGCTATTTTTAGCAGGTTAGACCCACAAGCCTAACTCGTTACCAGCTCTAGATAGAAGGTTTTCAAGTTGCCCTTATTAAACAAGTGAGGATTTCATTCAATATAATATAACCCTCTTGGAACCTAACGCTCCTCAAGAACCATGCTAAATAAGTAACAATCTTAGCCAAATCTTCACGATGACCTCCAACTAAGTATTCAACAATCCTAGAGCCGTTGCAAACTTTGACCATCCTAGCGTAAAAGAAATAGATATGAGAAAGCAACGAATTGATCCAAACCATAATCAATGTAGATTGAAAACTGAAGGTTTGGTTTTTTTCCTCCTAAATTTGGTTTTTTTCCCTAAATTTTTATAAATTTTTATTTTTTTCCTTCTTTTTTTTCCCTCTCTTTTTGATTAACAAAATTCAAATCAAGTGACAAGTTACATATATAAATGATGCGTCCAGAGGATGATTCTCCGGAAGGTTTAGGATTAGAGTACCTTAACAAACAGCTTTAAGAACCCAAAGTAAGAAACTCTACCCCAAATTCCATTATGATGATTCTTGGCTCTAGGAAGGTCCGTAATGACAGAAGCCCAAGTAAACTATCGTGAAGCCAAAAAAAAAAAAAAAAACACCGCATGCTTTAGTGTTCTATGGTGAGGCTTGTAAGAGACATGCTATGACATGAGTTTGGCAATATAATGGGAAGGTGATGGGTTATGGCTCTGATGCCAATTATTGTAGGGTGGGGAAGGGGAAAAGGGAGAAGAAAAAGAATATAAAGACTAAAGAGGAGGGACACTACCAAAAAAATTAGTATTTTGTTATGGTTAATTTGTAGCACTTCTAGCAATTATACTTGTTATTAACATGATTGGTAAAGGTTATGCAAACCGTTACTCACTCAGTGGAGGCAAACAATTTGGTAGCATTTTTATAAAACCGCCACACACTTGGTCAAACTTGTTACAATATTCATAACTGTAAAATGAACTCTTTACAAAGCTATGGTAAAATTCTGATGTCTAATATAGTAGTAGAAGTGGTTTTTCTAATTGCTACTATAGCGACACTGAAATTCAAATAATTTTTAGATATTTGTCGTAGCTGAAGAACAGCCACAGATGTTAGCGCCAAAATTTTGAAGTTTTCACGAGAATTTTTGAAATATTGGAGCCAAATTTTGCAATGGTTCTAAAACCGCTACAAATATATAAGAATTATTTGAATTCAAGCATCACCATAATAGTGGTTTAAAGTTTAGTTGGAAATATTCGTGTCCCAAAATTTGTTACAATTGTTAATTGCTACAAATTTTTATTCTAAATTTAAAAATGTATAGTTTAATATTAGGGAATTCTGTGCAATTTTAATAATTAGTCAAATGTAATAGATTACTAGGGATATAGAAAACAACATTTAAAAAAAAAAGTATTTTCATGCAAACTGAGACAGCTTCTATCGCATACTTATTATTATTATTATTATTTTTTTTTTTTTATAAGAAAGAAAGCAGGAAACTAACTACATTCCATCAGAATCCGCCAGAGGTGCACCATGTAGTCCGGGGGCAGCCGTAACCTCTCACATACTAATTTTATAAATATTGTAAAATTACTTCTAAAAAATTAATCCAAATATTAAGAGAAGAAGAAAGAAACGAAGAGAGGAATAGGAGCAAGTTGCAAGTATTTATAAAAATCAGGATAGTGATTTTGAGTAATCTTATTTGTAGTGGTTGTGTAGCAACAATTTGGATAAGCTTCTGTTAACCGCTACAAGTGAAATTAGTATCGGTTTTTATCCTGAACCAATGCGTATTGCTTTCAATTTGGGGGCAAAAAAAATTAGCCCCAAAATACTTCCTACTGAGGTGTGTGTGGAGATATATACTTTCAAAGTTTACCTTATACATTGTAAAAGTTAAGATTAGCTCTATCTTTATACCTAACTTGAACTTGTCAAATATACTGCTTTTGTATATGGCATTTTAATGGTGCATATTGCACAAGATATTCACATACTAAAATGGAAGAAGCCGCTGAAGTGTTGGCTATAGTTGTGTACCACTTTTTGGGGTGGTTTTTTTTTTTCTTTGGGGGGGGGGGGGTTACTGCATTTGAAAAAACTTTTAGAAAAAACTGATTTGAGATGAAACATTTTCCTCCTCTCTAATGTTGCCGGTGACACCCTTGGATTCAGGCTAGGGAAAGATACTGCCGGACCGGCAGCTAGTCGACGGCCAAGAGGACTGGAAAATGAAGAAGGTATAAGGGACTCCACAGGCCATCCTGGATGATGAAATGGAGGAGAAACTTCTGCAAGAGAACCATACCATGGAGGAGAACAGGAGTGAAGCTGAAGGCTTCAACACCCCGCCAAAGATGTCCCCTTCCTACGGAGTTTCACTAATGGGATTTAGCAAAGTTGCTCATGGAACCAATCCCATGGAGGAAGATGAACTCTTTGATGAAGGTAAGGAGATTCTCTGCAAGTTACCAGAAGCATTAAAGGAAGTGAAAAAAAATTGACGGAGATGTACCCCTGTTGTTCCCGTTACACAGGAAGAATTTAACGAATGGTGCCAACCTTAGAAGTAGCCTTGATTCTAACAGTGTTGGGAAGGAAGTTTAATGTCTTCCTGGTAATTATTTTTCTGTGATAATCTCACTACAGAATGCTACTCCCTCCGTTTCTTATTATAAGAGATATTTGATGTTTATAGCATGTTCCTATATATAAGAGATACTTACAAGTTGTCTCTCCTTTTTTTTGTTGATTTACTATTTTACCCATATTTATTATCTCCAACTCACACTCTCTCTCCCTCCCACTTCTCTTTCTTTTAATAATTTAATTGTTCTCTCTCATGCTCTCTCTCCTTATTAATGAGAGTATTTTTAGAAAAAAAAATTATATTTTTTACACATTAATTGTTCTTTCGGTTATTTGTCTCTTATAATAAGGAACGGAGGGAATACTTTTTTTCATAAAAGGCAAGCTCTGTCTGTGGCATCTCCGCAGAGTCCAAGAAATTAAAGACTGACTTGGGACTTTTTTTTTCCCTCTAAAACATAGGTATCCTTCTATTAGAAGGAATCCTACTCGAGACTGACTTAGGACTTAAGTCTTCAAATGAGCTGAAAAATGAGAATGAGCCAACTCAAAACTCCAAGCCAGACCTAAATCCAGTTAATCCTCCCCTCGTGGACCAGGCTATAGATCACCATAAACATAGATAGGTTTAATTTGTTAGTACCAACAAGAGTTGGTTCAATTGGTAAAAAGCTGGTTCATAACCCCACAAGATCATGAGTTTGAATCCCGCCGCCGATATGAGGACCTTGTTGATGAACGATCTGTAAGTACCTTTGTGAGTCTCCGGGACCCAACTCACCTAAACTTTTTTGTACCAAAAAAAAAATTTGTTAGTGGACTCAGCAGCATAAAGGATTTTTTTTTAACAGTGCTTAATATCTAATACACAATACATTAAAGTATTTTTCAGTTATATTTATGTAAAATAATTTTTGATCCACTTAGCAGGCTAAAATATTTTTTCAATAACATCTTCTATCTAGCATTCAGCACACTTGAGTATTTCTTTACTAGTACCCAATATCTTAAACTAAAGTTTAGTGCATCCAACACCAGAAAATGTTGCATCAAAAATTACTTAAAGATATTAAATGTTATTGAAAAAATATTTTAAAGTGCTGGATGTATTAAAAATTAGTTTAGTAACTAGTAATTATGTTCTAAATACTTGACAATTAAATTACATAAATGTCAAATAATGTTGTCCCAGGTTTGTTCATCTGGGTCATTAGAAGTAATCAGTACAGTTTGCCAAAGAAAACCGTACAATTACAAGAGATTAAATGCACCGTGGCGTCCCAACCCCCAGGTCATCGCCGCATCTCTCCCCATAATCTGCAGTTACACAAGAATATCTTAAACACCTCCCAAGCCAAACCTGTGTGCTCATTATTACTTGGCAATTTTGTTGTTAAAGCGGTCAAATATTAGGACTCATCACAGTGATAAATACTATGTGTTTATTATTATAATATAATTTAAACTATTTAGAATTTGATATAGATAGTTTAGATTTCAAAAATTTTAATATACAATTTTTTAATAGTAAATTTATTTTTTAAAGATACGTTAGTTATAAGATTATATTTATTTTATAACTAACGTATCTTTTATCTTTTATTTATTATGTATTAAATTTATTTTAAGTTATGTATCTATTAAAAGAAAAAATTAATTAAAATATATTAAACATTGAAGAGTAAGTA